CTACGTAGCCTCAGGACTGTGGAACATACAAAAGCGTTGGTCTGTCGGCCGAGCTCTGATTGGTAGGCTTTTTTTCGTTAATATCTCGTTCACAAAGCCTTGGATAACATTTTTGCTATAGAAAAAATTGTTCCAAATCACATCACGAGTGACCTATTTCAGGGATCATTACAGCACTTTTGTTACACCGTGTATACTATAAAGTAGAAACTTACAGTGAAATTTGTCACGGTACAGTTAGACAAGCTGTCCTTTATTCGATTCTCCCTCATAAAGGGGTACCGGCGCAACGTTCAGTAATACAGCGTTTCGTTGGGTCAAAGTTCAAGGAACAAGGGATGCCTCCCCTGTCGATGATCGAGCTGCTGTCCTAGCGAGCAACGTAAATATTTGCAGGATCGCGGGAGGGGGGAGTCGATAGGCGGGAAATCTTTATTATTTCAGGGATATGAAACTCTCCCGGGCCGATTCGCGAAGTGAAATGTCTACTTTCTTTACTTTTCCCCTTTTTCTCTGATGTGGCCCGTCCCGTGGATGCTGTTACCATGTTACCGTGGGGAGGCCGGATCGAAACGTCGAGTCTATAAATCGGGGAGAAAACTTCGATACAGTCCCTGTTGAGATTTCTATGAATAAAATTGGCGGTCGAGGAACGTCGACGAAGGTTGTCGCGATAGAACACGGGTCATTGAGACTGGAATTTCTCCCTAAATGCTCCATATTTGTAGTCCAACTACCACAAATCACATTTGTTGATTGACCAGTTTGTAAATTTCCAACAGTAAGTTTCATTGAAAAGTATATTAATTCGAATTACGTTACTAAAAAATGGGTCAAGTCCATACGATAAGTGCGAATCTGCGTATCATAATCATCTTATTATGTTACTGATACAGTAAATCCTCGATGACTGTTTGAAGGCTTCTCAGCACTGAACATTAAATATTTTGCGGCTGAAGCAAGTATTATGGTCTTCAGAATTCCAGGCTCTATCACTGTGCTAAACCGAATGAAAAAGTGAGCGTTACTCCTAGGGACCTCTCCTTGTTAGTGTCGAGTAGCCTTCGAACGGTTCGACCAGGAAATCGCCTTCTTGCTCTGTCATTTATATTTCTAAACATATTTTTATTATCAAAATGCGTAATATAATGAATCTTGTGTTTTTTTTTTACGATATTGATTCAAGGTTGTCGCGATGGATCCTGGGTCACTGGAAGTAAAATTTCCTCCGGACACGTGAAATTTTACGATACGCAGGATTAAATTATACGGCTCGAAAATGACGCGTCCATTACAGTGTAAATCCACTTACTTTCACGATGATCCGGCTCCGGTTTAATTAATTTCAGAAATTCACTCGCTCGTTTCCACCCACGAACTGGGTTGAAACTTTTGTCTGTATGAAATTCGTCATTCGAGCTTGTCACCGGTTTCAACGACATTCTACCCGAGCACGTTCTACAGCATGACAGATACATAAGAACCGTTTCGATGAAGTTTTTCGTGCGTTTGACAGACTTTTACAAGGATTGTTGATTGATTTGAAAATTCGGTTTCTGAATATTTCTCGTGGATCTGTGTATTTCAAGTGGCTTTCCACGAATCGTTTTCAAGTTCGTGGTAAAGATACGAATATTAGCTTCGATGAAGTTTTTCGTGCGTTTGACAGACTTTTACAACGATCGTTGGTTGATTTGATCATTCGGCTTTTGAGTTCTTTTTTCGTTGATCTGGGCTACCTCGGTGAGAGTTTCAAGATAATTTTCAGGAGTCATTTTCACGTTTGTAATTAGGATACCAGTTAATTCGCACTTTTGCTATTAGGAATGTATGTAGTCATTTCTGATCCGAATACTTTGTTTAGTGAACATTTTAATTATGATACTACTTATAGTTAGCTAATGAAGTCTAGGATGTGGTCGGTGTCAAGTGACATAATGTTAAAAAATTAATATAACGAAGGGATGAATAGCTAAATTTGCTAATTTTTATAATAAAAGTCACTGGGACGTAGCTAAATTTACCTATACATGACAGGACATTCTTAGGATCATTTCTTATGAGAAAAATGTGTTAAATTGGTACAAGGGACAGATGGGGGTTATGTGACTGATGTTACGATTATAACGAGATCCACAAATCTCGATTATAGGGAAAACGTGCTGTAGGTATATGCACGAGGAAAATGCATTCGATCTGTCACAGTGCACGCGAGGTCACCGGTTAATATATTTAATGCACTCCGTCCGACGGAATCCTGATAACTTTTAATCTCGTTATTAAAATATGTCTCTGCGGATACGTCGCGTCGTATCGATGCCCGAGGGAAGAGTTTCAAACGGCGAATCGTTTTATTTCTTTAAGAGCGAGCTAACCTCGCGAGTTACGTCGAGCAGGAACTTTTTCCTTCGCCTTGTATCTTGACTTGTGAGGGAAAATTAGAAAGTGTTTCGAGGTCGACTGGCGCGAGCAATAATCCCTAGGTAAATGTTGGAAATTAACATGACACGTAGTAACTGTATTAACTATTATATTTAAATAAGTCCAGTAACTTGCTCAAAGCGCTTCGTTATTCAATTACTTTAAATTTTTCTCATTTTTCAATTGCACGGAGTTGGATTCGCCGAAGACGGATTGCAAAGGGATGCTGTGTGAAAAGACGATTCAAGTGCAAGCAGGAGTTTCCGCTAACGAACTGATTAATCAAAATTCGATTACGCGCAAATGAACTGCGTTGTGCCACGCGGAGATGAAGTTCTCCCGTTTGCTCTCCGTTGAGGGGAGAATTAAATTTCAGCTTCAGCTGTTTAATGATACGAATTTTCGATTTTTTAAAAGAATTTATAGTTCGAATTAATAATAGTGAACTATGTATTCAATGATGCGAATTTCCATTAAAACGTGCCGATGTACAAACATTATATTTTTAATATATCATCGTGATATTTTATTTAATAAAGACAGCTTATTATATTGACGAAAAATGATAATTATAGCAAGTAACGAAAATATTCGGAGAGTAAGGAGGTATGTTTGACTTGGACTTGGAATGAATATCTTAAAATTGTTTAATAAATTTAATTGTACAATGTACTGAACAATAAAAGGTACGATTATCCCATATTACAAAAGAGGACAATTTATTCTGAAATACAATATTCGTATATTATTTACAGTCCAAAAGAATAGTACACTTTTTGTAGTATTTATTAAGTTGATATTTACTGAACACGATTTCTTTCAGACGTATCACTCTGATAAAACCGACGAGAGTTTGTTATATCGACATTTCTATTATTGCGTTACGTGCATTCTTTCGCCTGGTCAGTGAAAATAGACGCGCATAATTTTCTGGGGAACTAACCCGCGACAGGGGACCGTTTCTTGACAGGAAATCAACGTCGACAGCACATCACTTTCGGAATGTTGTTCCTCGATCTATTTTCGAACGTTTCGATGAAACGAGAAAAAAAAGAAATAGTATTATCATGATTTATCTCTGTTTCGTCAGGTTTTTCGTCCGCAAATATTACCCATTATTCTTCATTAATTGCATATCCGATTTTCTGTCATTGATGTTATAATAGTGCTCGGGAAATCGTACGAAAAACATGGCGAATGCGCAGCGTATGATATTTACGCGAATACGACGTAATTGTCATTCGTACATTTGCATTTTTGTACCATTTGTCGCAGCGACCAGAATAAATACTTTATCTCGAGATGCGTTCATTAATTTCATATTTCACTCACTGGCGGGCGACGTGGTTAATCGAGAAATATGACGTTCGCGAAATAGTAAAAAATGGCGGAACATTTGTGCGCACCTCTGCGTGCATTTCATACTGGCTAACGTATCCTTTATGCAGGTTTTTCACATATACAGAACTGGAATTTTCTTTTATGTTATTTCATTTCCTTTTGCTCCAAAATTGGAATATATGGTGGTAATCAATTCATTGGAAAATGGCACATTCTTCGGCAATTTTTCGGGTAAACTTTGAGTTTTTAATGAGTAATAGGCTATTTCTTACCAAATTCAGTACTTATTTCTACACAAATCAGAAACATATATTCTCTTAATAATATTTATTACTGTTCTCCACCGGTTATATGCCATTGTAATATATTAAACTGTGTAATTTTTTATAATTCAAATTATTACAACTTTGCTTTATTGCTAAGAGGACCATTGAGTTACTCATTGATGTAACTAATACACTAATATTGAAAAGATTCTATTTTATACAGTCATTTTTATCATAGATGCATAAAATCCATGATTTACTAAATTGGGTTATCAGTGAAAAGAATTTCGTCCATAATATAATTAATATCCTTCGACCAAAATACGATTATTATTCATATTATCAGTGACAAAAAAATACAGTAGTGACAATATCAGATTCCAAAAAATGAAGTTGAAATTTCGAGGATAATGGTGTTTCCAGTTGATGTGTACACTACTATTATTTAAAACTGGAACAAGAAATTGGAGAATGCAGAAAATAAAGCAATAACGAATGAAGTTGGGCAACAACAGCACGAAATGCAATTATGAACTGTATAAAACCATTCTAATTTCAGTGTACAAACACAACAGACAGAATCAACATTTTCTCTCAATGGAACGAATAATAAACACATTGAACCAGTACACCCTGCAAGGTTCCAGAGAGCAATTTATGTATACACAAAGAAAAACCGTTTGGACAGAGAAAAATATCGAGGAATTTTGAAAAATTGCCTTCAATCTATGTCATTCAGGGATTCGACGTGACTATAAATCGAAAACTGGAAAAGAGGAGGGGTAAATAGTTCGTATGATTTCTTGACGGAGAGAAAAGGGAGGAATTGGAAGGATATTAACTGGGCGGCTGACAAGACGAAAAGCCAGTGTTTCCCCGGGCTGATTTGACGTTTCCATGTGCTCGCGCTCGCGTGTGCTGGCAACGACCGTGTTTTCACCGCTTGAGTACGGAAGGCTCGGAGGAAGAGAAATGGGAATATTGGGAAAATTGCTTCCCTCGGTGTCCCTGGTGTCCATCTGGTGTCTGCTGATCGTCGAACCCGGCCAGGTTCAGAGGGAACAAGATCATCTGGGTAAATCATCTTTCTATTGCATTTGTGTCCTTGCTTTTTCGCGCTGACGTCACGTCAATTCGTTTCCGGTCCAGGACTAGCTCGATGATTTTATCGGTGGATTCCATTTTCCGGAACACTGGGTTTCCAAGTTTGTAATTAATTGTCGCCGAGAATTTCCTCGAGAAGCTAGCAACACATTGACACTCTGAAATGGGATCTGAAATTCTCGAATTTCCGACTCGACAGGTAAAACGAAATTTCTGAAAGAATTTTCACCTCAATCATTATCGATAATTTTCATCAATAAGTTTTTTAATTTTATCGAGTTATAAGTATATTGCAACTTGTATAACGTATTTAAATACGCGGAGGCAACTTCATAGAATTTTATGTTTTATTTTCAATTTCGTAAATACTTAATCCTCCGTGGTTACACATTTTGGTAGTTCCGTCATGGTCACACGGGGTCCCATTGACTACACGGACTTTGAAATGGTTGTCGTTTTTACAGTATACATTCTTGTAGATTAAAAAAATTCTTAAGTATACTTTTAACACCATAGGACATAAAGTTTCTTAAAAAATGAGTTTTTTGCACTAAAAGAATTATAACTTCTTAAATTTGGTTCGTTTAATGAAACGAAATATAGAGATATAAAGCTGTAAAGTTTTGTTGGGGTTGCCTGGACGATGGGTGACCTCCGAGGCTTAATAAAACTGATGAAATAATTGTTTCAATTTTGGATGTTAAAAAATTCTCCATAGAAATGAGAATTTGCTTAACAGTTCAGTGTGTGCATTAATGATATATTGTTGCTATTTTTAGTTTGCGAGAAACTTTAAAAGTTCGTTTGTTTTGCGGGACTCTCCCGAGGAACGTTTGAAATTCCCTGTGGTTCATCACAAATCAATTTCGCGTTTTCCGATTTTGATTTACAGGCTCGCTTAATATTCTTACAATGTACAACACTAACGTAAGCAAAAGTAAATTCTAGACTTTGATTTATCGTTTCGCCGTGTTTGACAGATTTATCAGGGCTCTGCTTACCGTTTCGTTCCCCCGGCAGATTTATTGTTCCGACCGCGAAACTGTGAGATTTTTCCGAAACCTCGAAACACACGAATCAATATTACATTTTCATTTTTGTCCGGCGTTGACGTTTGGAAGGCATCCGTAAATAACGATTGCAATTCTTTGTCATTATTAATTCTCGTATTCGAATTATTAATTCAGTAATTCTGAGCTTCTGGAGGTACAAATATACTCTAAAAATTCTGTACATTATTGTTAATAATTTTAGAATGGTTGTGCATTATACACAGTTACTTAATTAGGACACGTGTTGTTTCGCTTCACTGGAACCATCGTACATTTAAGTGAATTATTCCTATAACATACAAGCTATGTGCACAAAATAATTTCCATGAAATGATTAATAAATTATGTATATAATACCGTGAACAGTTGAAATTATTAAAATCATTAATGCATTGAACCATTAGAGATTATATCGACGGAAACATATTGATTATGGCAATGATTAATTACGTGATTTTTCGAAACGCCCTATAAATTATACCAGAAGTGGCCTCAAGTAAAATAATTCTGGCTTATTTGCGGTTGAATTCACTGTATAATTTGAGTTTCATTTTGTATATATTTGTAAGAATCATATGAAATTATACTATTCATATTGTAGGTGTACTATGAGAAATCAAAGCGTCTAGAGTAACTTCATAATTAACGTTTAAAATTTTCCTGTGTATTTGAACTTGTCGGTATAAATTATTGACAACCAATTATAACAACGACGAATCGATCAATAAAACCAATTCGCGGTTGATCCAATACGAACCAACGTTATGTTAACGCAACAGTTCGCTCCCAATTTTACAGTGAATTTACATTATTGAATTCTGTTTTTCATATGTTGCATTTATGAAAGAGGATTTCAAAGATTTTCTTAATACATTTTTCGTCACAGTTTCTTCTTCCACTTAGCTCCCATGACGTTTTGAAATTTAAAGAAATTGAAGTATTTATTATAGCCGTATGCCAAACCAGATTTTTTCTCAAATAATGGAAACTTGTTTGTTTTACCTTTCTCGCGTAGTGGGCTTCTATAATATGATGTCTAATATTATAATACATTTTTTATATTTCGGTAAAATAATATATAAATTACTTTATTTACGTGTTTCCATCAAGAATTGTCCAAAGTTACATAAAGGCAACATTTTGTTCCAAAAAACTTTATTAATAGCATTTATTTTCATTCTTATATACTTTTATAAGTAATAAATAATTATGTGTGTAAAAATCGCCTCGTTTCACTGCTCGGGACTTAATGGGTTAAATAGTCCTGGAGATTGTTACGAAATTTCATTTCCACCGAGTTTCGCGACTCGCGTTCTCGATCTTTCCGTTTCGCCGTGACATTAATATCGCGTCGAGGCCGTGGCAGCGGGGCTACAGATGTCCGCCTGGAGCTTTGTTGGTGTCCCGAGCCCCGAAGTTATTCCTCGCCTTTCGGCATTTCGCCGCGGTTCCTCTATTTTTGCCAGCTGCTATTCTTGAACCCGCGTTCTCCTCGAATCGGCATCCACGTTTATCCCTACGTCCCCCACCGTTTCTATTCGCTCGGCCACACCTGTGACCCTTAAGAAAATTGGACGCCTGTCCTGGCCAGACAGCGGAAAACACGGAAACGCGTCTCGTGGTCGCGAACCGGTGACTTTTAAAGCATGTTTCCCTTTTTGGAGAAGATCATTTCGACTGACGTCATGTTTGAAAATAGAATCAAGTTCAGTGTACATGGGGTGTTCAGGAATTAAGGACCGAGAAAGGAATTTTTAACGGTGTATTAACCCTTCTGCAGTGATGAATAAATTGTTAAATTTCTATTCCTCGAAGTAACCCTCATTCGTCCCTCAGCTTTGAACTGTGCACCAAGGAATCTATTTGGGATACTTTGTTTTCGTTTGAAATTAGTGGTCAGTGTAAACAATTGTAGAATATTTTATTAGCACATTTGTTTCAGTTTTTTTATATTCCATTTAACAGATACCTTCTTTAGGATGAATTTGATAACATGGAATGCAGTAGCACTCTGAACGTGCGTTGAATGCACTAAATTGTTATAAGGTTAGATAAATGACCGATAGAGAGTACGATGAAAAATGGACACGAAATTAATAGATCTGAATGGATAAAATATTTTTTTTAAATATTTCGTTTTGTTTATTTGTTAAGTAAATATTTGTTACTTATTCTACCTAAACTATGGAGAGGCATCGATAGCCATTAAGTTTGTTTTCCTATCTTTGAATAGATGTAAGAAATTGTTCTTCCAGATCACTTTGCAGAAGCTGGTCTATTAAAAAGAAGAATCAGAAATCAAATACATAAATTTTCGTACTACTGAAAATAATAACCAGCATTACTGTATAATGCAATTACATATTGTATTTCGAGGTTATCTCTTATAATTATTTTATTACGAATTATGATTTATCAGTCTCTTTACAACACGCAGATTTGTTCAGAGTGTACACAAGAAAGTATTTAATATAAAATTCAATTATAAAATTTATATTTTAATCTGAGAAGAGTAATGCAACTGGTTCTTTTATCTGTATTTCAGTCGTCTTTGGAAAAAAGACTTTGATACCAGCTCCAGACCTCTCTTTTATGGAAAAAATAAAAGCAATATTGCGAGTTACGGACTGAGAATCTCGCAACTTGTATATTTGCGTTCACGTCAATATCATACAGAGTGATGAAAGAAGTGCGGTTTTTGTGTCTACAAAAACACTTTGCACGAAGAGTCGACTTATTATCATTATTTGAAATTACATTGTACATAATTCTACAGCAGAAGTGAAACAATAGCATAATTTCGAAACTCTTTTCGTAGAAAGAACGTTTTTTTTCAGTTCCTCCTACTAACAATAAGTAATTAATATATTTGCAAAGTGGAATATATTCTTTCCTTTTAAGAATTATTTCATCCGTTCATAGGCCAAAGTGACCAGCTTCACTTTTCGAATTTTTTCAGATAATAGCACTAAAACATTTAATTATATAAATTTTTTAATTTCCCTACTTATTGCTTTATAGAGTAGATACTTTGGCAAATAAACTGCTCATTTACTATACTTTGAGGTCTGGGTTAGGTATTGTTAGACTGTCACGAAAATAGAAATTTTAACGACTACGTTGAAAAAGTCAACGATTAAAAAATATTTAAGAGAGCACATCCATATAATGCCTGGTTTGCCATGATTTTTCCGTCCGTCATGGTGCGTTGTAAAACAAAGTGTTTTACCCACCAGAGGCCGGCAACGTTAAAAGTTCCTATGCAGAAGCGTTGTTGCTTCTGGAAGAAATATTCTTGCAGAAGTACAGCCATAAAGAGTGATTCATCGCTCGCAACATGTGAAGTGTCTGCCATTTTTATACGCTTTTACGCCGTCAGTTATTTCGGGAAATATTGCCCGGAAATGTAACCGACACAGTATCGTTTCATTTATTTTCATGGTTGACAGCAAATTATTTCGATATTTAAATATTTTCTTTAATTTCAACGAACAAGACAGAAATAGAAGAATGGGGTCAGTAACAGTTTCAGTCGATATACGAAGAGAAAATCAGTACAGTCGATGAACGTGGTGGAGAGGTCGGACTTGAAAAATTATTTTTGTACCCTAGTGAACATTAAAATAGATTCACTTTATCCACCGTTAATAGCTTCACTCGGTAATAGCTTTGAGCATTGAGTTTCGTGACCTGAGACGGACTATTTAAAAATCGCGTAAAAAAAGAAATTTATTACACAATAGAAAATCATTTTATTCTTCTCTAATACATTATAATGCCTCCTTGAAACATAAAACAAATTAAGTTTAATGAAATTATATTTCACCAGTTTCTTCTAGAAATGGCACAATTCCACCATTTCGCATTTATCGTAGCGAGCAATGATTAATCAAAGGTACTTTCATTTCATTTAATAAAT